AATTCGGGTTTTCATAGGTTAAAACGGGTTAGGGTAATTCTCAGGTTCAAATCGGGTTCGGTTGAAGTCAATAATTTTCGAGTTAGAATGAGGTCGGGTCATTCTCGGGTTTGAGTCGGGTTCGGTTCAAGTCAATAATTTGCAGATTATAATTAGCTCATCGGGTCATTTTCAAGTCGGGTCATTCTCGGGTTCAAGTCGGGTTCGGTTCAAGTCAATAATTTGCGGGTTATAATCAGGTTAGGTCATTTCCAAGTCGGGTCATTCTCGGATTCAAGTCGGCTTATGTTCAAGTCAATAATTTGAGGTTACAACAGTTGGGGCCATTTTCAAGTTAGGTTATATTCGGGTTCAACTAACTATAAATAGATACTCCCTCCGTGTTTTTTTAAGTGTTACAGTTTGACCGTCACATAGTTTTAGGCAATTTAATTAACTTAAATAAAATTAGAGGTAAGTAGGGTAGTTGAAAAATTAAAAAATTGTAAAAAAAATAGTGGAGTTGATAGTTTATTGAAAAGTAATGAATGTAAAAGGAGAGATTAAAAAAAAAAATAGTGGTGGGTTTGGGTGGAGACCATGAGAGGAGAAATATATAATATTTTAATGTAGCTTTTTGCCAAAAAAAGAAGTGTAATACTTATTACAACACGGCCGGATTTGGTAAGTGTAACACTTCAAAAAAAAACGAAGGGAGTAATTATCATTATTATCAAGATAATTATTTCCTTTGACTATAATATATATGACAATATACTAGAGAACTATAGTCTATAATTTAGGAAGATAATTATCTCCTTTAACCATACAACAAATATATATTATATTTAACTCTTAAATTTGAGGATGAAGCTCCTTTTTTTTGCCGGCCTGGACCGACTAGGTCTCCTAAGACAAAGTGCTTTGATCAACAATAACAAGGTGGTCTAAATTGCATTTAAGGTGATTTGAAATCGAATCAGGAAAAATTTGTGAGTTGAATTTAGGTCGGGTCAATAACAAGTCGTGTTAATTTCGAGTCGGGTTACTAATAGATAGATTAGAATATTTTGGTTGGGTAAGTAATAGGTGCGATAAAATTCGGATCGGGTCAATAACAAGTCGTGTTGAATTTGGGTCAGGTCAGTAACAAGTCGGGTTGATTTCGGGTTAGGTTTGTAGTAGGTTGGACTAAATTCGGGTCAGGTTAGGAATAGGTCGGGTTGAATTCAGGTCAGGTTAGTAATAGGTCGGGTTAAATTCGTTTTTGACGGGTTAAATAGGTTTGGGTAAATTTCGGTTCAAGTCGAATTCGGTGCAAGTTAATTGAATTGGCCGTTATAAACAGGTAAATCGGTGCAAGATGTAAACAGGTAAATTGGGCGTTTAAAAGCAAACTGAATGGTTCCACACACCCAATTGGACACCCGGAGGGTATTAGGGACCATGGTAAAATTTTTGATAATTTTTATTTCAGGGCGAAAATAAGTCAATAAATTCCAAATTTGAAGGCAAATATCCACGCTTTTTGAGAAATTTTGGAGGTTTCGAGGCCCGCTGTTGAAAAGTCTTGACATTCTATGGGATACATCTCGGGTTCATATAATGTCGTTTGGAACCATATATGATCATTATTTGTTGTCATAAATGTTCGTGGTTAGCTTGAATTAATGAAATCAGTGCAAGTTGTAAACCGGTAAATTGGTCGTTTAAAGACAAATTGGATGGTTTCACCCACCCAATTGGACTCCCGGAGGTTATTAGAGACCATGGTAAATACTTTGGCAATTTTTATTTCCGGGCGAAAAAAAAGTCAAAAAATACCAAAATTGAAGACTAATATCCATGCATTTTGAAAAATTTTGGAGGTTTCGGGGCCCATTGTCGAAAAGTCTTGAAATTTTAGGGGATACATCTCGGGGTCATATAATGTTGTTTGGAACCATATATGATTATTATTTATTGTCATAAATGTTCATGGTAGGCTTGAGTTAATGAAATCGGTGCAAGTTGTAAACCGGTAAATTGATCGTTTAAAGGCAAATTGGATGGTTCCACCCACTCCATTGGATTCTCGGAGGGTATTAAGGACCATGGTAAAAATTTCGGAAATTTTTATTTCCGGGCGAAAAAATAGTCAAAAATTACAAAACTGAAGACTAATATCCACGCTTTTTTAGAAATTTTGGAGGTTTCGAGGCCCGATTTCAAAAAGTCTTGAAATTTTAGGGGATACATCTCGGGGTCATATAATGCTGTTTAAAACCATATATGGTCATTATTTGTTGTCATAAATGTTCGTGGTAGGCTTGAGTTAATGAAATCGTAGCAAGTTGTAAACCGGTATATTGGTCATTTAAAGCCAAATTGGATGATTCCACCCACCCAATGGGACTCCCAGATGGTATTAGGGACCATGGTTAACATTTCAACAATTTTTATTTCTGAGCAAAAAAAAAGTCAAGAATTTAAAAATTGAAGGCTTAATATCACACTTTTTGAGAAATATCGGAGAATTCAGGCCTTGGTGTCGAAATGTATTTAAATTCTATAGGATACATCTCGGGGTCATTTAATGTCGTTAGGAACCATATATGATCATTATTTGTTGTCATAAATGTTCGTGGTAGGTTTGAGATAATGAAATCGGTGCAAGTTGTAAACCGATAAATTGGTCGTTTAAAGGCAAATTGGATGGTTCTACCCAGCCAATGGGGACTCCCGGACAGTATAAGGGAACATGGTACACATTTCGACAACTTTTATTTTCGGGTGAAAAAAGTCAAAAAATTCCAAAATTGAATACTAATATCCACGCTTTTTAAAATTTTTTAGAGATTTCAGGGACCGGTGTCGAAAAGTCTTGAAATTTTAGTGGATACATATCGGGGTCGTATAATACTATTTGGAACCATAAATGATCATTATTTGTTGTCATAAATTTTCGTGGTATGCTTGAGTTAATGAAATCAGTGCAAGTTGTAAACCGGTAAATTGGTCATTTAAAGGCAAATTGGATGGTTTCACCCACCCAATAGGACTCCCAGAGGGTATTTGAGCTAGACCATGGGATCCGGTGTCAAAAAGTATTGAAATTTTATAGGATACATCTCGGGGTCATATGATGCCGTTTGGAACCATAAATGATCATTATATGTTGTCATAAATGTTCGTGGTAAGCTTGAGTTAATGAAATCTGTGCAAATTGTAAACCGGTAAATTGGCCGTTTAAAAGCAAATTGAATGATTCCACACACCCAATTGGACTCCCGGAAGGTATTAAGGACCATGGTAAACATTTCGGTAATTTTTATTTTCCGTCAAAAAAGTCAAAAAAATTCCAAAATTGAAAGCTAATTATCCACGATTTTTGAGAAATTTTGGAGGTTTCGGGGCACGGTGTCGAAAGGTTTTGAAATTCTATAGGATACATCTCGGGGTCATATAATGCCGTTTGTAACCATATATGATAATTATTTGTTGTCATAAATGTTCGTGGTAGGCTTGAGTTAATGAAATCGGTGCAAGTTGTAAACCAGTAAATTGGTCGTTTAAAGGCAAATTGGATTGTTCCACCCACCCAATTAGACTCTCAGAGGGTATTAGGGACCACGGTAAACATTTCGACAATTTTTATTTACGGGCGAAAAAAGTTAAACAATTCCAAAATTGAAGACTAATATCCACGCTTTTTGAGAAATTTTGGAGATTTCGGGTAGAGCTGTAAGTTCGGGTAAACGGGTCAGGTTTAGGTCGGTAAGAGTGGTTCGGGTTAATTCAGATTAATTCCATAACCTATGCGGGTCAAGTTTGGGTTAGGTCATGCTTGAGTCGGGTCACGTGGGGTCATACTTTTTATCGTGTTTAGGTCGGGTTAATAACAAGTCTGGTTACATTCGGGTGGGGTGAACAATAGGTTGGGTTTAATTCAGGTTAAAACGGGTTAGGATAATTCTTGGGTTCGAGTCGGGTTCGGTTCTAGTTAATAATTTGCGGGTTAGAATCAGGTCGGGTCATTCTCGGGTCTGAGTCGGGTTCGGTTCAAGTTAATAATTTGCGGGTTATAATCAGGTCGAGTCATTTTCAAGTCGAGTCATTCTCGGGTTCAAATCGGGTTCGGTTCAAGTCAATAATTCGCGGGTTATAATCAAGTCGGGTCATTCTCGGAGTCAAGTCGGTTTAGTTTCAATTCAATAATATGCAGGTTACAATCTGGTCGGGTCATTTCTAAGTCGGGTCATATTCGGGTTCAACTAAATATAAATAGATAATTATCATTTTTATCATTGTAATTATTTCCTTTGACTATAATATATATGACAATATACTAGGGAACTACAGTTTATAATTTAGGAAGATAATTATCTCCTTTGACCATACAACAAATATATACTATTATTTAACTCTTGAATTTGAGGATGATGCTCCTTTCTTTTGCTGGCCTGGACCGACTTGGTCTCCCTTGACAAAATGCTTTGATCAACAATAATAAGGTAGTCTTAATTGCATTTAAGGTGATTTGAAATCGGGTCGGGAACAATTTGGGTTTAATTTAGGTTGGGCCAATAACAAGTCGTGTTGATTTCGAGTCGGGTTAGTAACAGATCGGGTTGAATTTTTTGGTCGGGTTAGTAATAGGTCTGGTAAAATTCGGGTCGAGTCAATAACAAGTCGGGTTGAATTAGGGTCAGGTTAATGACAAGTCAGGTTGATTTCGGGCCGGGTTTGTAACAGGTTGGGTTAAATTCGGATCGGGTTAGGAATGAGTTGGGTTAAATTTAGGTCAGGTTAGTAACAATTCAGGTTAAATTCGGGTTTTGACGAGTTAAAACGGGTTTGGGTCACCATTTTTTCGGATTCAGATTAATCGGTTAATAATCGGGTTTGAGTCGATATTTCAGATCAGGTCAACTTTTAACAACTCTATTTTGTACCCATAAAAATTCAAAAATATTAATCATCTCGAGCATACATGCATTAAAAGTAAAACAATTCTTCCTAAAATGTTACTCGTGTCATTGGTAGATGATGTTTCGTAATTAAATTAAAGCACATATAAATTTTTAAAGGATGAAAGAAATACAAAACTTAATATCACTCTAATAAGTCTAAACTTATTAATTCTCCAAGATTATTAAACCCAATATCAAATTAATAAATACTCTGTAGTACCAAGTTGTCAATAAAAATTTAAATATTTAATTTATGCCATTATTGAAAAAAGTCAATGGTCCACTGTCAAATGTCAAATAAATACCAATAATTCAAATGATAGCAGCCATAAAAACACCCTCCACCACTCACACCTCAAACACCTCCAAAATCCCAAACAATTCCTCCCAAAAATAAAAACAAAAAACAATGAAATTCCATTTAATTCTCTTTAATTTCCTAATAATCAACCTTCTAACATCTTCACCATCTTCCTCTGCTCAATCTCTCTCCACTTTCACCTCCTCAAACTCCCCATGGCAACCATCTCAGAACAAAACCCTTGTCTCCCCTCGCTCGGCTTTCGCAGCCGGTTTTCGACATTTCCCGGGTTCTTCAAACCTGTACACATTCTCGATATGGTATAACAACATATCTGATCAAACCATAGTTTGGTCTGCCAACTGGGCTATCCCTGTTCAAGCTTCGGCTTCCTTGAACATCACTTCTAATGGTCAGCTTCGGCTAACCAACGGCTCTTCTGGGCCCACAATATGGTCAACCCCAACTTCAGTGAGCTCCAACTCCACCGGATTGATTCTCACGGATGATGGGAATTTGATGCTTGGTTCTTGGCAGAGTTTTGATCATCCAACTGATACTTTTCTTCCTAATCAAACTTTTGGAAACGACACCGTTTTGGTTTCTAGAAATGGGAAATTTAGCTTTAACGGGTCAAGTTTGGTTTTTAACGGGTCGGATTCGTATTGGACTGCAGCTAATTCGTTTGTGAGTTTTGGTGTTGATGGGTTAGTCCAACATAATGGTGGGAATCCGATTATTTTGGCGGATTTCGGGCAGAATCGAACCCGAAGACTTACCTTGGGTGATGATGGGAACCTTCGTTTCTTTAGTTTTGACCCGGATAAGCACTCATGGGCTATTGTTTGGGTGGCTGTACTTGAGATTTGTCGAATACATGGTTTATGTGGGCCGGGTTATATTTGTTTTAGTAATGGATTAACGTTATCGGGTTATGAATGCGTGTGCCCGCCGGGTTTTAGGCGGAGCACCGGGTCGGACTCGTGTGTGAGAAAGAATCCGATTATTGATATGGGTAAAAGCAAGTTTTTAAGGCTTGATTATGTTAATTACTCGGGCGGGTCGAATCAAACTAGCATAAATACACTTAACTTGGCTAATTGTAGGTCCAAGTGTAGGTTAAATCAAAGATGCCTCGGGTTCGGGTTTAAGTATGATATGTTTGGCTATTGTGTGCTCCAACTTGATAGACTCTTAAACGGGTATTGGTCTCCGGGTACGGAGATGACCTTTTATCTTAGAGTGGACTACTCAGAAACTGACCCAAGTAATTTTACGGGTATGTCGGAGGTACTAAATACTACGTGCCCGATCCAATTTAGTTTGCCGGATCCTTCTGCAGAGTCCGATAGGACGACCCGAAACATAATAATCATAACCATCTTATTTACCACTGAAATTGCTGGTGCAGGACTCTTGTTTTGGGCCTTCTTAAAGAGATATGTGAAGTATCGAGATATGGCCCAAACACTTGGGCTTGGGCTATTGCCCACATCTGGGCCCAAAAGGTTTAGTTATGCTGAAATAAAATTAGCAACAAAAGATTTCTCTGAGGAAAACATCATAGGAAAAGGTGGCTTTAGTGATGTATACATAGGAAAGTTGCAAGATAGTCGTCCGGTGGCTGTTAAGTGCTTGAAAAATGTCACTGGTGGTGACGCCGAGTTTTGGGGTGAGGTGACTATCATAGCGCGTATGCACCACCTTAATTTGGTTCGTTTATGGGGCTTTTGTAACGAGAAGGGTCGTAGGATTTTGGTCTATGAACATGTTCCTAATGGATCACTCGATAAGTATCTCTTTAGATCAAGTCACAATGTGTCTGATGGTATAGACACTACAAATGAGACAGAAGCAATGATCGGTCTCAAACAAAAGCCGATACTAGATTGGAATATAAGGTATAGGATTGCTCTTGGAGTGGCAAGAGCAATTGCTTACCTACATGAAGAGTGTCTAGAATGGGTCTTACATTGCGATATCAAGCCAGAGAATATACTTTTAGGGGATGATTTTTGCCCCAAGGTTGCGGATTTTGGGCTGTCTAAACTGAAGAAGAAGGAGCAGATTGTAACCAAGTCAAGGATTCGTGGCACACGAGGCTACCTAGCGCCTGAATGGGTGAAGAATGACTCAATCACATCTAAAGTTGATGTGTTTAGTTTTGGCATGGTACTTTTGGAAATTGTGACTGGGGCAAGGAATCTAATTCAAGGACCTTCCGCTGTTGCAAGTGAAGAATGGTATTTGCCACATTGGGCATTTGAAATGGCAATCGAAGAAAGGAGGATGGAGGAAATTTTGGATTGTCAAATTAAACATGCTTATGATGATAAGGTGCACTTCAAATTGATCGACCGAATGGTGAAGACAGCAATGTGGTGTGTTCAAGAGAGGGCGGAGATGAGACCATCCATGGGAAAGGTTGCTAAAATGCTCGAAGGCACTGTGGAAATCATGGAACCACCAAAACCAACAATTTTCTTCATAGCAGGGGATAATTGAGCAATGAAAATATGTAAATAGTTAAATACTCTTTCCAAAGATATTGTAAAATCATTATTTTGTTGAAGCACAGCTTAAATTGTTTGTTTGTATTATCTTAATGTATGAATCAAATGGCACAATTTGCAAATAGTATTTCCTGAAAAATGGATCAATTTCACCAACTAGCAAAATGACTTCAACAGAAAAAATAGTTTCAGATGTTGAACACTCAATTTCTCCGGCAGATTAACTCTAAAACAAAGACATTTATCAATATACTACGTATAAGCATTAAGGTTCAAAATCAAGTATTTATATGAATACCAAAAATATATTCATCAAAATTACCAAGCAGTTTGTTCATTTATCCTAGTTGCAATGGATTTTCACCTGACAGGCACCGGAGATGGCAACATGACTTGCCTCTAAACAAGAGAAAAATGATAAAATTCATTGAATTACAGTTAAATTTAAGCATACCACAAAACTATCTACAAAAGCTACGTGTTGTAGCCCTGTCGTTCATTTCTCGGATATTCCGGGGTTTCATTCACATTCACTCATATGGATTTCTAAAATTCTTGAGTAACTCTGGAATATCATAGCCAAGCATGTCATCAACAGCTTGAATCATCTTAGGTTTCAACTTTTCAAATTTGTCAATACTATAGCCACCTAGAACTTCCCTGAAATGCTCCACATATGGAAAATCGCCTGCTGGCAAATGGAATTCCCTCTGAACCTGTTTCGGAAAATTTCAACATACATAGCATGTGAGAGGACAGAAATGGAGAATTGAGAAAAGACAGGAAAGAGAGAGACACAGAAATGAATATGAACTTGTTTCAAAAAAGAAATGAATATGAACCTTAAGAAATTCATCTTCAAGATTATCAATTAATCGTTGTTGTGTTTTAGCTTTCCCCATCATTGAAGGCATCTCTTTCTTCAGGTGACTGATAATGTAAGCGTGAATCTTAGCTGCTCGGGCACGTTTCACAAATTCATTTATCTGTATGATAAGACAGTAAAATTAGTCACCAGTCAAGAAAGGGGAAAAAGGTATGAGCAAATATTTTTTTTAAAAACTAGTGGCATACTCTTCTATCACAAGCTTTCTTTGGAATGTCCTTCAGATCAGTAAGAAGGTCATTCTGCGCTCTCTCAAAAAGATCCTTTCCCATGGGACCAACTGCTTCAGAGTCAATAGGCTTGTCATTGAATGAACTGAAAAAGATGAATCATGGCTTGATGATATTGATTTAGCAAATATTAACATTTCCAATGTTTAATTGCAGCAAATTATAATTTAAAACTTAGCTCACAAAACCTCAAACCACCAAAAGAAAGAGAATAAACAAATATAGAGGACTCAACTCTGAGGAAAATATAATTTAAGGCTTTAAGCACTATGAGGGAGTAAAAGGCATGAGCTGAAGCCTAAAAAGTCAGTTAAATAAACGAAGAAACCTAGTCTAAGCAACAATGATTAACACTAAACAGTAATAGTATACAAAGGATCACCATAGACGATTAGATTCAGACGTAATATAAATATGCAAATCTGATTAGCCAACAAGTTAGAACCAAAAGGCAATACTTACCCAATATAAACACGAGAGACCTCAGGGGTATTTAGAACCTTTCCAAGCGACCACATCAATGCGCCATATACTCTCATCAACTGCAATATATAATATACATTAGGCCACAATCATAAAATGCTTTTCTGAAAAATCTTCAAGACCAAGTATAAACCATAGCCTCTAAAGGTATTTGTAAATCAAGATCTTACCTGCTGGGTATCGACTTGGTCAGCTTTATTCAGAACAACACGGATTTTGTCATCATGACCGCGCAGAGATGAAATTACCCGCTTGAATTCATCACTTATGTCAAGCTTGTGAGGATCAAACAACAAAAGGATAAGGTCGCACTTTGCAGCAAACCATGAGATCACTCCAGTAAAGTCATAGCTTCTCTGAGTTCTCTGCTTCTCTCCAGACAGAACTCCAGGCGTGTCAACAAAAGTTATGTGCTCCAACAGCTGAAAAAAAGCCAGAAATTTTTTAAATTAGCAAAATGCAAATTAACAGCTTGAGTACATGACAGTAAAGATGAATTATAGATTAATCCCTTACAGGATGTGGCATTTGCGAACACTGGAATTTTGATAAGAATGCCCCGCCAAAGTTTGTGAGACCACTGAATGGCATATCTGCTTGGACAGCAATCGTGTTCCCAGGAATGCTCCTCTCATCAGGTCCAGACTGAACATATAACAAGACTTAGAAAACTAAAAGGAAGATGAAAGAAACAGACTTTGATTTTGATCAGCAGGATGACGCAACAAAACATATAATGCAAACTGGAGAATACCATGACGACAACAAAACGATCTGTAGTAGGCTCTGGTCCAATATGAGCTCCTGTTGGAAGTCAGACAGCAAAGAGAACATCAAATAACCAAAATAATAGGTCTGAACACGACTGGATAGTGGATACACGTGCAAGCAATGCAAATCACCTGGATATTCACATTTCAGCAAATGTTTTATGAAGGTAGTTTTCCCAGTAGAATATTGTCCCAACAGCATAACCATAGGTTTGGCATCAAAATCACTGTTTGTCTGTAAAGAAAAAAAATACTTCACTAACTTAAATGACACAAGCAAACATAGTATTTATATAACAACACCGCGCTTACAAAAACTTTGACTTCTAACTCACCAGTGGAGGTGAAACAAAGTCATGAAAGCGGTAGGTAGTCTCCAGTGGCTTCAGCTTTTCAATGTATAATCTCTTCAAACCATCAACTATAGAAGTTACTGCACTGAGTGGTATCTGGCACAAAATATATTGGGGTAAAAAACATCAACAAAACAATCAAAATCAATAATTCTTATATGGAGTACGTAGATAATTTTAAAAAATTCCCACAAGTATATTACCTAAGAAAACAAGAAATGCCTACCAAGAAAAAAAAAAATCAAGAAAGAAGCTTATTAGTTATTACTCTATTTCAAAGATTCATTTCTTATGATTCTGCTGAATATTCATAACAGACGGTCCTGGAAACACAATTTTAAAAAATAACACACTCACGTTGCAAAACAAAACTTGTGGGTAATTTCAAGAAAATAAGATGCTCAAGTATAACAAGAAAACAAATGGTCGCAAATGCATTGTTGCAAGCCTTCTCTTAAAACACAAATGCAGACATGCTCCAAGTTCCTCAGACAGACAAAACTGAAACCAGAAAATATAGAGGAAAAAGTGAAATTTCTGCTATAACTAAGCAAGTCATTACCTTCTTTGAGGGCTTTGAACTAAACCAATTTGATGTAGGTGGTGACTGTTGAGGAGATCCTTCAGCATTAACAATAAAATGATTAGTAATAATATAGATAGAGCCTATTTACAACTTGTGCCAAATGAGCAGTCCTAACCATTTAATTCAGGTTCAACATATGTTGTCGTGGTCTTCTTCTTTTTCTAATCACAGAACAAGTATATTAGCTATAAATTGATAATAGATAGAGTTAAATCAGTATAATTCCAAGAGCTAATACTCACAGCAAGTAACGCATCCAGCCCTTCCATTATAGGGAGTTGAATGTCCTCCATAGCTAAAAATCACCGCCAATAAAATATAGTAAATTAATAATATAATAGGAATAAAAGTATGACACAAGAGCATACAAATTTGCAGTTTATCAGGCAAATATTGCTACAATAGAAGTATGAAGGTTGTCCTACTCATAATGTTTCCTTTTAGCGCGAGAGCAATGGATAACAAACCATGCCAAAAAAAAAAAAAAAAAACACACACACACACACACAAGTTCCAACTGCAGGAAACATGCCCATGAAATCACTACCATTAATGACTTGTCAACAGGACAATCCATATCTTTAATAACTGCACATTTTTTCACGCACCCAAATTGTTAAACCCTTTTCAAGAGCAGCTGCCTCAGCCAGGTCTGGGAGTCTAGAACTCTAGATCATGGGTTTGAAGATGGTTTCTTAGGCATGTAAAGGGGAAGACAGAAGAATTCAGGATGCTATTGCAGTAGAACATTTATATTAATTCTATACATTTAAGGTTTCTTTTTCTGCCTGCATGAAGATTTTTGAACAGTGGACTTTCGCAGCAATTCTATGCACTGCCCCACAAAAGTATATTCATAACCCCCCCCCCCCCTCTCCTTCCATCCCCCAAAGTAAGTAAAAAAACAATTGAAACTTCTATCTTAAGCTTGTATTTCTATGGATTAGAATCATCCATAACCCATTAAATAAATTAAAATTAAAATATAAAAAAGAAATTATTGGAGCAAACCAAACAGTACATTCATGGTCTGATATGTAACATGATGCAACAAAATCAGGCTTGTAATGGTATGTATAATGCAATCACTTATTAAAGCCAATTACATTCTTACCAAAATAGGTCAATATTTAAAACAACTTGATGTATCAAAAATGGGGGGAGGGTGGCTGAGCATAGAAAACAAGTAGGAAAGAATGGTAAAACTTTTTTGCAATGACATATTACTTGTAGTCTAAATCTGCAATTTAATGAGTGAAAACAAAATATTCACATAGACACTTACCTGCATTACTCAGAAGATCAGAAGTCAGCTCCTTTCCCGCTTGAGCCAAAGATATAAGCTGCAAATATATAATCAAACGCATTCATCTAAAAATATAGAATCACCATAACACTAATAATCTACATAGCATCTTCCATATATGACTTAAACTACGCTACACAAAATAACTATTGAATTCAACCAATATATACCAACCTGCATCGCAGCAACAAACTCTTTAAAGCCCAAGTAACCTTGTCTCTTGGTATCTGCTAGTGCCCATACCTTAAAAACGATATATGTTAGAACCATGTAAAAAAGCAATCACTTACCAATTATGATAGTAATAAATGTGTTGATCACCAAAATTATAAAAATTGAGCTGATTAACATCTACTCCATAGACAATAAATTGACTAACAAACATACAAAATAACAATTCTTGTATATTTGTAACTTGTAGGTAACTTGAGGAATCCCCATCTATGTCATGTTGTCACCATAGGTGAGCACATCATTACAGCATTTGGAATACAACGAATGGAATAACTGAATGATGTTCCGAGATAATTTTATGGAGAAGACACAAAATCCAACCCCCCACCCCCACCAGATTCCGCACTAAGAAGCCATAACATCAGAGCTCATGGCACAAGAAAATCAGGAGATTACATAATCATATCACGTGAACCGTGTCAAGCTTCATTGAGCTCAAATCCTATCAAAATACTCAATGATCACTAAAACACTCATCAGTCAAGTTAAGTAAGTGAATGAATGTTAAGTACATACACAACAAAACACCACCACCGTCACTAATTTGCGTACGTCGAATTCGGAACAATCCCATTATCAACAATTTAATATTCCAAACCATTAGAGATTGTTACCAAATTCCTAGTAATATGCTCAAAATAAAACAGGCAATAAACTTCTACCATTCTTAAAATTAAAGAATTGAGCAAATATCAAAATACCCCTTTCACCAAAAATAAAACATAAATTTTCATCTGAAAACTTCAGCTGAAATAAGAACCCTAGAAATGTTTTATTTAATAAAAAATCGATAAATTGTGAAAAAGTACCTGCTTAAGGTCAGATCGAGACAAATTAGACATGGAAAAAAACTTGGTTGCATCATTTCCAGTAATTCGACCATCTCCATCTACCCAGGAAAAAAAAAAGAAAAAAAAAAAGTAAATTCATAGCAATAATTCAAAAAAAAAAAAAAAAAAACCCCAAATTCAAAAAATAAAAAAATAAAAATGGGGAAATTGATTTAAAAAAAAGTACCTGAATCAGCAACTGGAAACCATTGCTGATAAATTTTCTGGTGTTCTTTAGAACATGTAGAAATTGGGCCAGTAGATATCTCCATATTTTTGGGTTTTTTTTTTTTTTTTGTTGTCGAATTTTTTAAAAAAAAAATCAGTGAAATTGATTGTTTTACTTGAATATATAATGCAAAAATTCAACGAGAATATTTAAATAAATTTGAAAAAAAAAATACAAGAAAATTGGGGAAGCTCCACTAATAGTGTGATTTGGAAGAAGAGCTAACTTCAAAATTTTGAAATGGAGGAAGAGACAAACAGGAGAGGCGGAAATTTTCAGAGGCTTTATAATTTTTAAATATTAATTAATGGAAAAAGTGCCACTGTTTACTTCATTTTTACTGTATTTTTTCATGACTTATTTTTTTCACATTTTGTAATTTTTAAAACTATTTAATGTTTTGGGTTGCATTTGTTGTTTTAAGTTATTGGGTAATTGTCCCTCAAAAAAAAAAAAAAAAAAGTTACTGGGTAATTATGAATTAAATCTAATTATTATGTAAACTAGTATGTGGTGGGTTTGTGATAGGCATGGCGTTTATTCCGTTTAAATCACATGTATTTTATTGTTACCTTTATCGGCATGTATCATACATGTTTGATACAGGAATATTGGATTATGATATGAATTTTGTAAAAGATGTTTAACCATGTCAATCATTTTGTGACGGAGAGAGTTATATTTAAGTACTCGGAGTCTTGAAGAGTGGAAGTAAATATAATTACTCCTGCTCAAGTTCTAGCATACATAATCTAAAGAGTAAACAAATACTTCGTACCATACTACCATGCTAGTAAAATTACATTGCAAGTCTTGCTAACAGAAAACTGCATAATCCAATCCAACTAATTTTCCCATCTGCATACAGTTGATTTCTGCTTAGATTCAGTAAATTGATGAACTGAAGAAAATACAAGTATTAAAGCAAAGAGACTTCATTACATGATCTGATCATCATTGACCCAAAGAACAGCAGAAGGGGTAGCAAAACCCGGCAGTTTTCCAAAACATAGACAAACTTGCTCTCTAGTAACAAACCTGTAAATTTTTCTCATGGTTAAAGATTGATCAACCAGTACATCCATGAGAGATTTCATAGCCAGAATTTGGCAAAAATTTAGCTTCAACTTATAGGTAAACTCCACTGATGTACAGAATTCTAATAACCATTCATAAGACTTTAACGACACAAGCGTCTGACAAGTGCAAGAATTATTTGCTGAAGTATAACAAGAAACCAAAAAAAGAAGCTTCCTTAAACAGGTAATTGGAGCAATCTGGTCTCAACAAAAGCTACAAAGAGATCTGAAATCAAGAATTTAACCAACAAATTTGAGCGCTCCATAAGATGGCAGCAGAAAAGATACTAAGGCTTTCTTTGTGGGAGAGGCAAAAGCTTAGGGTCTAAACGAGTCTTAGAAAACACTTGGACTTCCATTTGACCTCCAAACATACGATGACGTGCTAACCAAAACAGCTTGTGGCGCAATTCATGCCTCTCAGCTTTTATGTCCAGTACACATTTCTGGACCCTTGTCTCAAATTGTTCTCGGGACTTTTTGTCAATGTGAGGTGACCGTAGAACTGTATATAATACTCTAGTTTCAGGCAGTGAAATCTTCCGTGTATGAGGTGGAAGGCTTTCCAAAAATGGACGGCCAAAAGAGCTAACCACTACACGGATCTTTGTACTCATGGCTTAGCCTGCTTTACAAATTACAGAACAATTGATACAGTTAATATAAGCACACCATATAGCTATAAAGATATATCATTTCCACATATGACTATCAACAAAAAAAACATGAAGCATTGCTTTCAAATTAGTGAACTTTGAACAGAGCCTAGTTTTCTTCCTTCTTTAATTTTTGTGATGGGATCACTTTTCAAAAACTCCACAACTTCCCCCAAACACCAAAAGCATATTTATTGTAGAAACACTTTCCCCAAAATAGCTACATCGAGATTTTCTAGCTTGGATATCATTACAGGAGAAAAATTAATAGCATAAATAATGCCAAGATAAGCAAACAAATTATCTAGAGTGCAAAATTTTCAACCACAGGCCATTGATGTAGTCTAGGAAGGTAGCTTGAATAAATAGGTTGGTTCTTCTTAACAAGGATGAATCTGTATACAACCCAAAATTTAAGATAACTCTGTACTTTCCAGAAATGAACCTCAGGAAATTCTGATCATTTAGGCTTTCCAAACAAATAGCTGCCTTCACAGCAATCCTTAAAGGACTTCCTAATTAATTCTCTAGACCTTTGGCATTATGAAAGCTTGATAGGCCTTTAAAGCATATCTGTGATATTTATATAAACTGCAAAGGAATCACTTAAGGTTCACTCATACCATAAACCCAAAAATATTTTCCAGCTCACTATATTTCCATATTAAATTTCATAGTTCTACAAGAGCCTTTCAGGAGCTTCTAGGAAATAATAGTGTAAAGAACTAAAGATCACAAAAAATAAGTTAAGGCCCTACCAAATTTGATCGCAGCGAAATAAAGGGTAGCATATCAAAAGTCAGCCTAAAAAAGGGAAACTAAACTTGACAATCTTGGCACTCAGAAGGTCCAACCACTCTTACGTTACCCAGCATGTGAGCAATGAAATCGCTTTCACACAATAAAGATCCAAACTCCAAAAGACCAAAAGCAAGGCAAATCACTAAAGACTGGAGTAAATTTATCACATCCCTCCCTTAACATTACAAAAAACTTTCATTCCACAAGGACCGCAGCTCAGTATCCTTAATGTTACAACAAAAAAAAAAAAAAAAAAAGGAAGTCGAAATCCTCAATGTACATATCCAAGAGTTAAGGAGTGAGGATATAAGTTTCCTAATCCAAGTAACACGACCTTATTCTCAATCTCGTCACAAAGCTAGTATAAGACAAAGCATACAGTACAAAAGAGCGGAAATGATAAGTATGGAGAACCAATGACACAAAACTCTTTGCCAACCCTGAATAAATACATCCGATTCACCATCATCTCTACCCCTTTATCAATCCTAAACAAATACATCTTGAACAAAACAGTTTCTTTACTTGCACACTTAGACTTGTAAGAATTTGAAAAAACAGAAAAAGAAATTTGTTTGATTTGATATGATGTGAGGAGAGATTGAAGAAAGATTATAATGCAATTTGCTCAAACTTTGAAATACCCTCTTCCTTCCTTCTTTTCTGGCTAAAAATCATACAAACATAGAGTAATCAAATGTAAGTGCTCAGTTTTCTTACCATTCCAAGAATGATCATCATAGAAATATTTGAAAATGACAATCATTCTGCTTCACCTAAGCTCTACTGGGGTAACGATAAAAAAGATGTTCAAGGTGATTGTATGAATAATAAAAGCTATTGGTTTATGCTTGTTCATCAACTTAGGAAAATTTTCAAAATATTCATCTTTTCAATGCATACAAATAGTCATTGGTTCGTCGTTATTATGAATTTCCTTGCTTACTTAGAGAGAAATCAGCATCATAAGAGTATTAATTTATTTTTATTTTTTCACTACATTTCAAAAAACAAACAAATCCTCATTAAAAAGATACAAACTTGAATCAACAAATCAATCCTTACATCATACTTACAATCTCAAACTTAGTATAAACCAGAAATAAGCTAATGGGCTCAAGAAATAATCTTAACAAACTCCATTTTCATAGTTCTGTCCTAAAATTATAGGGTTCTGCAACACATTAGCAACCAAATTGGATTCAATTGTTAAATTAAATTACTTCTCTTTAGCATTGTAATAATCTTTCAGTAATTGAATAATAAAGCAATAGTTTAATAATCCACCTTAGAAGAACCCTAAATTGAAGTAAATTAACGATAAACCCTAGATCACGAAATCGATATTCAATGATTGAAAGATAAAACATCTTACCTCAGAAGCTGCTTCAATGGAGGAAAGAAAGCTCACAAGCCGCGTCAATGGAGAATTCAGTGGAGGAGAGAGTGAGGAGTGGGGGCGGCTCCTTGTGAACAGTCCGATTGAAGAGGAGTACAGGCACAGCGGCTCCCAACGTAGGAGGAAATTTTTTTACCTCTCAAAGCGTTATGTTTGCAAAGCCAAGGTCTTGTTCAATTTATCTTAGAAAAATAATACGAGTATTCCCAAGTATTTATTAGAAATACGTAGTAATTTTATTTCAGTAAAAATAAATTCAGTTTCCGTAAATAAATAAATAAATAAAAATTACTTCTGTTAAATTTGATAATTTTAAAGAAGAATTCATAATAGAAAAATAGTATAAATAATTTCACTTCAGCAAAAGTAGTATGAAGTGAATCGGACCTAATTAAATGTACTCACTACTCATGACTTGTGTCTACTACATTCCTCCTACGTTTAAATCAAATGAGGCAAATAATTCATTCTTTTTTAATGGATGAGCTCTGGATTTTAAATTTTAACGTTTGTGATTAATCTGCTCCGTATTTATATTTGATTCACTTTTATAATCTTATTGATATTTAGATCTATCAACAATTAAATTTATATTTCAACACATTTAACAAATGTATGTGATAAAAAATGTCAACCAAACATGAACGGATAATGGTTGTATAGAAGACAAGGATGGTTCATTGGTTCCATAAAATGTACGCATAACTTTTATGATAAGATCAAAATCATTAGGTAACCATTATTATTTTCTTATTAATCAAAGTGACATTTTTCGGATCTAAGTGGCTATTATGTACTTCATAATAAGTATGATAGCAAAGGCACTCTCATAATTCTAGTAGCCAGCAGGAAGGTAATTGCCATCAACCAATTTAGACCGAAAATATAACACAGTTAAAAAGAAAAAAAGAGCAGGGTATGACCAAAACATTCTGAACATTTCAACTATATAAAACATGTTAGAAAAGCTGCACGGTTCAAGAGTAAACAGCAAATATGTGTTGCCAAAGTTGAAGGTTTGTGAATTGTGAGCATAATCTTTCTTCAATGTGTGATAAGGTGGCGTACAAGCGTATGATTCAGTCACTTATACATAATTGCAACAAAAGCGCCAAATGATGATCAGCAAATCCGATAAATCACTGTGATGGTGTATCTTCGTCTTTCTTTTGCGACAAGTACCTAGCACAATAGATCAATAGATCAAAAATATATAAGATTGAAGTATTGAACCAAGAAAAAAGAGAAAGATAAGAAATTAACATGTAACCAATGTCCACTGCTGGAGGCCCTAGAGCTGGCACATTCAGTATAAATGTAAGTCAAAAATAATAACGACCAGTTATTTTTCTAAAATTTTCCTAAAATTTTCCCACTCATAAGACAAATGTTAGTTCTTAAAATATCCCAGTCAAGGATATCTTTATATTTGGAGATAGTTTCAGCTTATAAATTATCTAGCAATAAGACCGTATACAAAAACCCCCACTATAATACATCCACTCTTTATGCGATCCCTCTTCATGATCAAGAGGTTACTAAAAACAAGTACTCTGTCCTTTATTGCAGTTTGGTCAACCGGTCAAGACCCAAGTAGATACTCCCCGATCTGAATGAATTGGGAATACTTTATTAGTTAACTACTTGTACTTTTGATGTGGTTTGCATTTCCTAAAATTGAGCTAAAACAATGAGCAATCCACACCTTTGATTAGAGCTTCCAACACCAAGGGGATGAACTTTCAAGATCAACAATCTAGGTCCAAAATCATAGCCATTGAAATGTTGCTACTAACAAATTCAATGACTCCCTAGACTGATAGGAAATAATATGAGACTGAATCTGTTTTTCAACTGAACTTTTCATATAGACCATACCACAATTTTCAACCGGACTTCTAACTTCTAAAGTTCTGAGCTATCGGGGAAAGCAGGAGATTGGTTGGACTCCCCAACCCACCTCAGGTACATTGAATTTTATCAAAAACTGTGCAATAATGTGTTTTTGAGCCTACTAATGTTTCACATAGAAACAATCCACTAAATCAGTCTAATTCCCACAACGTATTCCCTCTTCTTAAAAATGGGAAAGCACCAACTTCATAGAAGATTAAAAGAGGGCAACTGAGAAGGCAAGTTGGAAAACACACAGCCAAAATAAAAAAGCAAGCATTTACAATCAAAGTCGAACATGGTAAACATAGAGTTATAAAACAACGAAATTCTTCAAAACCCTTACCCATTAGCCCTTGCCCACCGGGAAAATTGGTATAGTTGAACAGTCTCATTTGAAGCATGACAAGCTAGAAGTAGGTAGTTACGAGGCTGAACCATCCATGCAAACCTCATGAATAATCCTGAATAAACGCACATTGCTGAAACACCAACAAACAGTGTTGATCAGTTGACTATCAAAGCATGCTTAAAAGCGTAGACTTGCTTTGCAACAACATATATGAACCTGCACTCATGTTGCCAGATATCATTTCAGGAGGTTTATTCATGTCCACAAGCCCCTGTCAGCTCCATCAGAAACACAGACGATAAGTTGCAAAATCTAGTCAACAAAAGTAATTTATATGTTTTCAAGTAAAGAAGCATACAGCAACAACAAATCCCCAGTTGGCAACAGGTCCCCAAAAATGAGTTGTTTTAGGACCAACAGGACTGTTCAAAAAAGCACGGAAAGTAGAAGCCATTTATCTCCTGTAAAGAGTAATACAAAGTTAGATGCTGGAAAATAATCCGTAAATAAAATCATTTCCAATGCAAGCAAGCAATTGGCAGATTCTCAGAAACAAATTTATAAGAATATGAGAAACAAAAATTATGCCACGTACACTCAATAAGAATGAAAAAAATCAAACCAAGAGGATCGTTTATGCACTTAGCCCCAGGCCCCAGGTAAACACCTATACCTTAGACATAATACTAAAAATTACAATCCCAACCAGTAAAGCAATAGTTTATACGAAGTATGAAAGATTGATCCTTCAGCAAAACATCTTAATGTCAACATACATTGCTTTTGCAAATTGTCATCCTTGCAACCAAGTTGGTGCTTCAAAGAATTGACCTATAGATGACCTATAAGCCTATAACAATCTCCCAGAAAAAGTAATGTTCATACACTTCAAGACTAAAAAAATGCCCTCTTTATGTTATGTATCATCAAAAAATTACAAGCTAATCTACACTCTTGAGAGAAGATTGTCCTAATTTCTTGGGTACTTTTCCTTTGGAAAAAAGAAAAAGAGCACTTACAATTGATCGATGGAAAGATGACATCAGGACCCATATATCAATTAAGCCAGCTCAAAAACCAATCATAATGACTCTCAAAAGGAAACATGTTGAACAAGTGTGTTACAAATGAGGATAGTGAGGAAAGAAAACATGCATATCTATCCCACATAGAAGAGGGTCAACAAAATGAAATAAAGTTAAAAGGACCATAAGACGTGACTTCGAATATCTGAACCTGGAGGCCAAAATGATAAAATGTGTATGTAGCATATTTAATAACAACACATAAAGAACCTTTTTCGACTCTTAGGCCTTCTTAGCATACTTTATCTTCCCCATTTACTTCCCCTATTTTTACATATGTTATTGCATCTAATAAAAAATACTTCTTTTTATGCATTTCCTTCTTTTGGCCTATGTTTTCTCACATTAAAGATCATCTTTCCTTCCCTGACATCTCAAACAACTCATCATAGTTCATCTATACAGCACTGGCTGTCAATACTTCAGCTTAGAAAGTAAAAAAACACAAGTACAACATAGACAATCCTTAGCGAGCCAATACAAACACATCATGTGCAAGGGGTGTGTAATTGTGTAAATTGAGTAAGATGATCCAACCTCTGAAAATGTATAAAGTCACCCACTCACATAAGGAATCCTCCCCGGAATCTAAACATATCTTTCATGAAGAACATCTATCATTCCTTGTATAATTCATTATCCACAGAGGAATACAATAAACACTAGGAAAATTACAGGTCAAAGTATTCCAAAACCGGAACAATCACGCACAATAAGGATTAGCTTGATTAAGTTGATGCTCGCTTCCTTAGATAAGTTGGACTTTAATTAAGCGATTGGTTCACTTTTGAGCTATGGGAAAGTGAATAATTGATGAAATATACTAGGCTAACAAATATTTCGATAAAATAAAACAATTTTAATTTCACTAAATTTACTCGATTATAAATTTCTATTGCATAAAAATATAAATTCAACCATAAACCAAACTCATCCAATATACTCCTAACATCTTTCTTCCAGATAAGACCTTGACAAGTTTTGATACTTTGAGACGAATTAAATACGATAAATTAGCATCAAATTAAAGAATCAAATACAAATGTTCGCCCAGTAATCGACATTGTTCAATTGCAATCCCTAAAAAATAAATACTTAGAAAAAACTAAAACGAAATCGAGGATAATGGAGCTATGGATGTTATTCTAATCAAAATTATACAAGAAATTGAAAGAAAATACAAAAATCCCAAAAAAAAATTATCAATAATCAATATCAACTCTGATGAAATTATACAAGGTTGCGTAATTTGAGAGTATTTTGACAAAATAATCACAATAACTTGTGAAAATTGAAGGATTCTAATTTGCAAAAAAAATGAAGAATTTAAGAGAATAATACCTTTAAATATTGATTGAAATCTGGAATTGATCCGGAGTTGTTGACCCCCTAATCGCCGGTGAAGGGTGGAAATGTTTATTTATCTCAGGCGGGGCGGGACTCGCCTTTCTTAAAAATAATTTGACAACCGATCCCCAAACCTCACCTTTTGACTTTCAAGAGTTTCAACTACCAAATCTTCTACTACGGACTAATTGACACACTCGATTTTTAAGACGGTCAAACTTAAGGAAAAAAAAAAAAAAGTTAATCATAGTCTTCTGTAATATGAAATCGGTGTTTTTTCTGTTTGACTGACTATATCGTGTGGTCAGGGCTATTTATTCAAAGGTTACTCGGTCGGACATGGGTTACTTATTCGAGAGTTACACAGTAGGACAGGGGTTACTTATAGAGGTTACTTAGTCGGTCAGAGGTCACTTATAGGAATTACTTAGTCAGTCAGAGGTCACTTATATGAATTACTTAGTCGGATATGGATCACTTATAAAGTTTACTCAGACGATCAGGGGTTACTTACAAAGTTTACTCAGTTGATTAGGGATTTCTTATAGGGTTTACTCAGTCGGCCAGGGGTTACTAAGTCGGTTAGGGATTATTTAGGGTTTACTCAATCGATTAGGGGTTACTTATAGAGGTTATTTATTCTAAAGTTACTTATAAGTGTGGCCTGCTACGTATAAAAATTTGTGTTATGGACAGTGGCGGACTGGCCCTTGTGCCTGGTGGGTCAAATGACTCACCAGGGCCCAAAAAAATTCTAAGTTTTTTTTAAAAAAAAAAAAAATTCTAACTTCAGGTACTGAGGTGAGCCCGATTTGGCGAATTCCTCAAGCAGTCAAGCCCTAGCCCACTTCGCCTCTTCCTCTTCGCATCTTCCTCTTCGCCTCTTCCTCTTCACCACTTCACCAAATCACCAGACTACCTCCACCCTCCAGTGCTGGCGTGCTGCTGCTAGCCTAGTCGCCTGCTCTGCTGCAGTGCTGCTCAGTGCGAGTGTGTCGTGTGCGACAGACCGACAGTGCTCACTGCTAGTGCTCTTCGCTAGTTCGCTTCGAGTCTTCAACGCTTCTTCTAATCTGCTATTCTCATTTTGCTAGTAAGTTGATTTCTATTTTAGTTTAAAATTCTAATCTTCAATTCAGTCTAATTAGTTAATTTTATTAAACTTGGTTTAAACTTAGGTTGATTTTTAGTTAACGCTTCCTCTTCGCTAGTTCGCTCACGCCTCCAGACTCTGACTCAGCATGTATCAATTCTACCTTTTTGAGTGCTGAGATGGCTAAAAGTTCATTCAAATTCGAGCACCCTCTTGGTTTGTTACAATTTCTTGATTTGGGATTTTTTTTTTGCCCCCTGAAAATTTTGGTTTTGTTCCGCGTTATTTGGATGTTTGATGATCAAATTTTGTGAAATATTTATCTGGGTTTGTTTTTAAGTATGAATCTTCGAAGCATTTTTGGATTTTCTTGGTGTAATTTGAATATTTGGTGATCAAATTATGTGAATTATGCATCTGGGTAGTTTTTATAAGACTATATATGAATGTCGGAACAATTATGCTTAATTATGTTAATTATTGCAGTAATTTGTATCTTATAACTTGTAATTTGATAAAGGTTTTGCTTGCAAAGTTTAAAGTCTTGTGTTTTTTCTAATAATGAAATATAATTAAGGATGTTGATTTGATTGATGAATTGTTGTGGTGTCTGAGGTCAGTTGAATATTCTCTCTTTTCATCTCCTTGTTTCATATACTATTATGTTCAAATGATTTTACTTGTATTTGGAATTCTAAATTTTGATTAGTTCTCACTTCAATATATGAGTAGCTCGGAAAAGTTGATTTTTTTTGCTGCAATTTCATGTTATGTTGACAAACTGGTTAAAATTTCTAAAGGGTATTTTTAAAATTGTAAGTGTGTTACAATTTTATGGTGGGATGATGTTATATTTTGTTTAAATATGTGGGTTGCAGTACTATTATTTGGTTGTTTGGTAAAAAAATTTTTTTACATATTTGATTATTGATTGTGACTCACCAGTCGAAAATTTCTGGGTCCGCCACTGGTTATGGAATAGATGAAGTAAACGGATTACTTACATCACTTTGGTATAGCCTAATAGACATGCGTACTTTTGTAAATACTACTTTTTTTTTTTGGTTATTAATATATGTAATTATGGATTAGTAATTACGGAGTAAAATTTTATAGAAAAAAAAAAAAGTACTCTGTAGAATACTTTATACGAAGTATACATTTAGGTGAAACTAATAACATTCTGCTTGTCTTTGGTAAGTTAATGAAAATAAAAGGTAATTTTGGAATTTGCTTGAGGAAGAATAGATATTGGTTTTAAATTTAATGGCTCTCGATATAGGTATGATTAAATTGATCACCTAGACACCTAATGGAATCATTTTATAATATAAGGAAAACCTTAATAAAACCTCCCATATACTCGGTCTGACCGGACAACCTTTCTCAATCGGGTGCACCAACAAGCAAATTTGAAACGACGGGATTATGAAGCTTCCCCTTGTTGGCTTTGTAGGGCGATCACGAACAAAATATATATACATCATATTGAATGCCTCGATTCAAAACATATTTAACAATTAGTTAGTCACATTTTTTTTAATTAACACATAATTAATAAAAACTTATTTTAGTTTGTCATTTTGTTGTCTTTTCCTTTTCTTTTGATACATCATTATAACTAATGAAAAATTAATTATATCCCATACCAAGTTGTCCAAGTACAAGTATTAGTATTATAGGGTAGTACCGTGGTAGTTGAGCTTTCATTTTTCAAACAACCATGATGTCATAATATATATGTATGTTCCAAATATTCCCAAATGCTGGATTTAAAATGCGATTGTCGTGACTGAGATGCTATGTATACAAGATTTGAAGCATCACCTTAAACTATTCAAGTTATGATCTAAACCAACAAAAATAAAAATTTGGAGATATAGTACAAATAGATATTTTATATCTATGTTACATGTTGCATCTAATAATTTTGCCGTGCCTTACAAAATTAGTACTCGCGTACATATGTTTTTTCTCCTTCCGAGTTTATCATATTGAAACAACGCAATATACTCCGTAATTCTGATCTATTCTAATACAAATTACATTAAACTTACAATTTTCTATAACAGCTAATATCGTACCAAATAAAATAAAAAAAAATAAAAAATCAAACATACAAAATTCTCCCCCTAATAGTACATCAATGTAAAAAATAAACCATATTATGTAGATATGTACCTTTTCAATAAAGCCATTGGACATAAAATTCTATACAAGGAATAGAAATCTAATCTGAGTGACCAATCAAGAGGAAATCTGTGTTTATTTCTCTTTAATTTCTCTTCATACTTCTTAATTATGAAATGCCCACTGTCTTGCTTAGCAACCAAAGTACCAAGGATAATTCAACTCCAAAAATAGTATGGAGGTATGATCTATCCAACATGAATCCATACACTGTAATCCCAGCTCTATTATTCTCTAAATAAGTCACTGCAAAATACAAAAAAAAATAACTAACATTTCTAGCTAAAATCCGATGTTACCAAAAAAAAAATTAACAACTATATCTATACGTAGGGAGGTGAGGGAATTCCTCTACTCCCAAGTATATGTAGATGGTAGGGCTTAAACTCGTGACCTCAAAGTCACAACCCCACCAACTCTACCAAACTATGTGTAACAATACAAGGAGTTAAAAGTATTCATACCTAAGGCTTGCCTCTTTTGGTAGGAAATAGTGTTTGCAAAAACAGGAACCATCTTAGTGTTATCAAGGTCGTCATCGCCGTCTCCCTCCTCCTCATCGGACTCAGTATGTGTACAGTAGGGGAACGTAAGAGGTGAAAATGATCGAGTGATTGGAGTTGTTTGACCTTCGACAGCATCAAAAGAGTCTATCGTAGCACAAATATGCCATTTAGCAGCCAATGAGGTAATGGCCTGCGCCTTATGTGTGATCTTTGCTGCACTTCTTAGGCATATGCACACTCCAGTTACTAGGGTTACCGAGCAGAGCTACACATTTAGAAGCCGTAGTAATAATAAGTAACATAACATTTCCCTAACAGAAAATGGTTGCAAATAAGTAAATTATAAATCATATTCCTGGACTTTAATTATCAGCTTAAGTTTTTGGTTAAGATGGTCCACTAACATGGTAATAGAGCCAGCGTGACCTAAATATTACGACCACCAACTTAAGCTTTTGATTGAGATGGTCCACTACCATAAATAAACAAATAAAAAAACAGAGAAAGTATGTACGTAGCAAATTAAAGAATAGATAATTACCGCGACTTCTCCAGCAGTGTAGAGATCAACTTTACCACCATCAGACTTAGTAATGACTAGCAAAGAAGCAAACTGGCTAGCAGTGACAAGTAACAACGTAAACAAAATGAATGTTCGAAATCGATGGCTAATAATCCTCAGAGTCTTTCTGATCCTTAAATGCTCTAGTAAAACCATTGCAACATCCGTTTCGAGTTGAAAAACCTGAGCAAAGTCCTCGAACCTAAGGATCTGAAGGTAGCAGCTAACGCGGTAGAGCACACAAGCTAGGAAGAAGATCGAGGTTCGATATAGCCAAGAGCATTGCTCCAAGAAGCAGGCAATAGTGTGGCTCAATATTAGGTTGCCAAAGTGAGGGATTTTAGGTCCTCCTGTGGCGTACCACCAGATTTTGTAGGCTGTATCAGCAATGAAACAGGGTACCACGAACATACAGAGGATTTTGACTGATCTCTGCAAAAAATAACAAAGGATTCAATAATGTTTATTAAATTAATTTCTGATCATTATTAACATGCAATATGTTAGTTAATCAATGGTTTATATGAAGGAAATTAGGCCATAATTAACATTGTTATAAATTATGATGGATGATAGCCGAATTTTTATTCAAAATGATATTATTTAAAGTCGATAGTTCAAAACTATAAAGACTTTTAACTTTTCATTATGATTTTCACGTATCAATGAAATTTACTTTTTTTTGTAAGAAGTTGACATATAGAAATTGAACAAAACAACAATGTTTGAGATGAAATAAATTTACTATTGACTCAACTAGACTCATTAAGATTTTGTAGTACATTCGAATAGTTCGAGCCAAATTAAGTCGATTGGTCGATTCGATTATAACTGTGTCAAGTTTGAATATTAATTTTGAACGGATTACTCGACTTATTATCATCGTACCACTAGAAACTACAATTTGTAATATAAAACTGGTGCATTAGGTAGTATAAAAAGCAAATTAAAAGGACAAAAAAAAAAAAAAAACCAACATTAAACCTAAGAGAAGAAGAAGAAATATCTACCTAGCTAATCAAAATAGTAGTTCGTTTTGGATGGATATGACAATGACCTTGATTAAAAAGTTGCATTCTTTAATTTCTATATTTCCTGCTATCAATTGAAACAATGAGGTTGATGGAATGATGATAAGCATAAACGACAAAGGCACGATTTAATTAAGATGCTTTGTTCTCAACTCTTTTGCATATTGCTTTTGCTAGAAAAAACCTTACTTTTTTGCGCTAAAGTTGCCGAAAACTACTATATACCCATGATCCTTCTACTACCACCTTAAGAAGGCAATATCTTACATGATCTCGAATCAGGCGAATGTATACGTTCTAATAATGTGACACAACCTTTTTTTTTTTTTTTTACATTATGCCGACATGATCATGTATGTAACTTATGTTCAATCGTATAGAAATCTGGGAAGCATAAATGGATTGAATGTACCAAATTACTAATCTTAGATCACCCTTTTTCTCTCTAATAAAATATCTCTTACTTTTAAGGTGTGCTGAAAGTGATTTTTTATGTCGCCATGAATTAAAATAAATAAATAAAGAGTGACAAAACTTGTGCGCATTAGATCAACTTCAAGCAAAATACTCCATAATATGATAATTGAATGCATTATTTTATTACGAACGAAGTATTACTCAAATTTGAAGACTCTAATTTAAAAACTCTAATTAATATGGATTTGTTCATTATTAATAATGTCCATCTTTATCGCTTGTTATTCTCCTTACCTTAAAAACCATCTTATGTGGTTGAAATACAATCCAAATTAGTCACTATGTTATCAATCTCGATCAAAATCCCAGTCTAAATTTTCAACGGCAAAATATGACTCAATTCCTTCAAATGCACACTAACAACTTTGATTTCCAACTTAAGACCCAGAGTTTTCGGAGGAATACCACCGACCACCAGCTAGAAAATTAACAATAATCACGTATCAAATTAAAATAAACTTCGATCATATAATCTTAATCAAAAGCAAAATCATAATATCATAAAATCAAACAGGTGCAGTATCTTATTCATCAATCATAAGACTATATCGCATTAATCAATAACCATGACAATCTTTAAGAACATAAAAATAATTAACTTTCTTAAAAATCAAATACTTGTTTAAATCACAATCTCTCATCATTCATATTATGATAAACAAAAATTAAATTTGATCAAGAATATGATCATATCCCCAATTTTAATATATCAATATAAAATCTGTGTAATAAAGAATAAATACCTTACTTCATATTATTTTGCATGTATTATTAAAAAAAAAAAAAAAAAAAAAAAAAAAGTATATTTTATATCATATCAAATATTCTGAAATCCCCTGTTCAAAAAAACAGGGGATTAAACAGAATTAATAAGACTAGATGATTGAGAACGTACCTGAAGTTGTATGGAGTACCCGAACCGAACCCGATCACTCTCTTCATAGAGTTTATCAAGGAAAAGGAACCTCCTAAGACCAAGTTTTCTAGCAAATTTGGTAAGGTTAAGGAAAGAAAGAATGGAAATAGCCGAAAGCGAAAGCTCAACAATGGAATCAAAGGGTTGAAGATGATCTTCATCTTTACAAGTTGAACAATATAATACAAAATGAGACAAAATTGGAACACCAATACAAAACAAGAAGAAAACGGACCAAGAAAGGCTTGTTTTCCAAGGGTTTGATTGATCAACACAAGCCCATGTTAGAAATAGTCTTAGACTTTTTAATTCATCATCTTCATATTGTAAGGTTTGTTTATGTGATTTTGGTAATAGTAGATTTTGATGAAGAATATGTTGATTTTGATGAAGGTTATGATTTTCTCTCTCTTCGTTTTCCATTTTTGTATGGGATTTTGGAAAGTTACTAGAATACCATTGTTTGATATTTGAATTGATTGATAATTTTGCTATCAACCTACCTTATACTAGACATTTATACGGTATTTATATACTCATATGAAGTATATATATGTGGAGTTTATGTAATTTTTTTATTAAGGTGAAAACATGTGTCGTTTTCACTTTTTATATTTGGCTTCTTCTAATGAAGTAGGAACTTAGGTGATGTTTGATTTAACTTTTTTTTTTTGAATAGATGTTTGATTTAACTTAGTATATTATCTGAATTTTTTATACTAATTGAACTTATTTTGTATGAAAAATAAGTCAAAATAAGTTGATTAATCAACAATCAATCAAAATAAGTCAAAATAAGTTGATTAATCAACAATCAATCAATTAACATGAGGCATTGAATAATAATTTATTTTAAAAATTAGGCCTCTAAACTCCTCCCTCAGGACACTGTTGCGGTGTCCATGGGGACGGGGTAGCCCCGACTTCCATAGGTCCTTGTTTCGATCTCGTTCATATTATTATGCTTATTAATCGATGTTGTAAATAGCTTTGGGAGGATGTATTGCTAACAAAGTTTTTATGCTAGGTATGTATATTACTCTTAACTAATAATTTAAGTAGGAAAAAAAAAACCCTAATCTTAGTTGAAATTAATATTCATTTTTCAACAATATAACAACTCATATAACTATATATTATAAGCCACCCATCAATATAACAATTCAATTCAAGTAATCTCTCAATAATATAACAACTGACGTTAAAACTATTATTATTTGATTATATTAAAATCTTTTAAATAACTAAAATTAATTAAACCAAGCTAGTTAACATTCAAGTCAAAATATTACTACATCCGTTTCATATTATTTGCAACGATTAGATTTTTTTCTCTATATTTTATGTCAAATCGTTGCAAATAATATAAAATAGAGGTAATAGAGGTTACGAACCAATATGATATTAGATTTTGCAATGTTTTAGTACATGGACTACAAAGTTGTTGACCTTGTTGTTGTCTTTCTCGTGAGCTGGACGACCATGGGACCTATTAGCTCGCTTGATACGTGGTAGAGCTAAGAGGGCAAATATTACTGCAAATCTATGATTAGTAAATGAGAGAATATTTGCCGTGCCTTTCTCATTGATCATGAAACAGTATATAATACAAGCGTAAGCTAGGTTAGGGTTAAGGCTAAACTAGTAATTTACAAACTAATTACATACTAGATTATTTACATAATCTAACACTCCCCCGCAGTCAAAGCGGGAGGACCATTGATAGGCCGTCGTCGAGCCTACCAAAGATAATGATTCCTATCTTGGTCTCACTAACAATAGTAAGGGTAAGAAAGGGTCGAACCCAAGAGAGGCGTTGAATCAACCACCGAGTACTACCGTTTAAATAAGCTAAATGAATTCTAAATTGGGTTTGTTTTGAGTAACTTCTTCTAATTCAACTCAACTAAAGCTAAGAGGAGATTAACAATATTAAGAGGAATCTAGGGCTCGGGTTATACCACTCAACTTCATCACAAATCACAATTAGCATGCTACAATCAAGGTAAATTAATGGGACAAATTAGGGGAAGTCATCTAAAGCACCCAACTACTCTCTCAAGCTAGAGGGATTACTTGAATCGTGAATACAACCTATTCTCGTGGTTACATAGCATAAAACAAGTGTTAAAGCATAATCACGATGACATAAACATTCCCTTGACCGGTAATCTCTATTCTCATGGCATTTCGGGTCAATTAAGCATAAGGGAGCTAACTCAAGTTCATCTCTCGATCCTTCGTTGAGAAAGCTTGGATAAATAGTTCTAGCAATGGCCATATACAAGAACTAAGCAATTAAACCACTTAAGCTCAACTAATCATCATCCCACAACAACCAAATTAGCACATGCAACAAGTAATTAGTGACTACATTGAGGGTTTTACCCAAACCCTAGAATTTAGACTACTCACAATCCATGGAGGTTAAAGCAATTAGAGGTTTCAAGCAATTCATGAACAAGTTCAAACTAAGGATTAAGCTAATTAACAATCTAAGCATGCAAGAATTAAGCAAGTAATCAACAACAAAGTAAAGAGAAGTAGAAAAGATGAGTAAGAAATGGTTACTATGAAGCTTCAAAGTGAGCAACAATGGTGGATTTTGTCTTCTACAATGATTGAATTTGAATGCTTCCAAGCTAAAAATTAAGAACTAACTAATGATTTGAGAATTTAATGTTCTAAGACTACAAACTAAGAGGAAAGCTCTAAAAAAAACTGCCTCCCCGTACAAATGAGCTCTAAAGGGGTATTTATATGACCCCCAAATAAAAAGGACGGAGAAAACAAGGAAGGAGTTCGACTGCAGGTCTGCACGGATGTGCCAGATTTGGCACGGACGTGCAAGGCTAAGCACGGCCGTGCCAAGTTTGGCACGGACGTGCAGGAGGGCCAAAATGGAGGCAGAAGCTTCTGCCAAGGTCTGCACGGACGTGCAACTTTTGGCACGGACGTGCAGACTTGCACGGACGTGCTATCATCTTGCACGTCCGTGCAGGATGCCTTGCCTAGACTGCTTAACTTTGGGAAGCTGTAACTTCTACGTTTCTTGTCGGAAATGGACTTGTGACCAGTCGTTGGAAATCTCTTGTGACGAACTTTAATCTCCAATTTGAATCGCTTCAAAAGGTTGATAAGATCAAAAGTTATGGTTGGTTGAAATTGACGCTTACGCAAACGACCTTTCAAGGTTCTCCAAAAGCTTTTCATTTCCCTTTAAGGCATTCCTCCTTCTTCCTCCATGGCTCTATCAACCAAGCTTGCCCTTATCCTTGCTCACTCATGCTTGATCATGTCCATAGTGCTAATAGCTACATTACATCAAAAACACAAACAACTGGTGAAGCATGAATGGTACAAAATTTGCATAAAAATAGGATAAAAAATGAACTTTGATGTCGATTAATAACGAAAACAAGGTTCAAAAGTACCCTAAAATCATGCCAAATAACAAGTTATCAAATCCCCCCAAGCTAAGTTTTTGCTCGTCCTCGAGCAAAACAAACATGTCGAATCAAAGGAGGAAAACGACCACATTGGCAACCCCTCTGTACTCTGCTTCACAACTAGACTTAGACAAAGTGGGTTGGCGTTTTGAAGACCAAGAAATCAGATTGTCACCAAGGTATACACAATACCCCGATGTGGAACGACGAGTATCCGGACACCCGCCCCAATCTGCATCCGTGTATGACACAAGGGTAGAAATAGGAGATTTATGCAGTTGTAAACCAAAATCTGTCATACCCTTAATGTATCGTAGAATGCGTTTCAACGCATTCATGTGCTCAACACGGGGCGAGTGCATAAATAAGCAAACCTGTTGAACTGCATAAGAGATATCTGGTCGGGTGAATGTCAAGTACTGCAAAGCACCACAGAGGCACCGATAAGAAGTAGGATCGTCATACAGAGCACCCTCCTGAGTACTCAATTTGCCTTTGGTGTCAACAGGAGTAGCTGAAGGCTTGCAATTTGCCATTCCTGCTTTTTCCAAAATTTCCTGCGCATACTTCTTTTGAGATAAAAATAGACCACTTTTACCTCTAGTAACAGCAATACCCAAAAAATAACTCAGAGAACCCAAATCCTTCATTGCAAATTCAGAGCTGAGCCGAGAAATAATATGTCGACGGAGAGATTCCGATGAAGCAGTAAGCACAATATCATCAACATATAGAAGTAGATAAGCAGTATCATTACCATGGCGATAGATGAACAAAGAGGTATCAGATTTGCTATTAGCAAAGCCAATAGTAGCCACAAAATCTGCAAACCGTTTGTACCACGCACGGGGTGCCTGTTTGAGACCATAAAGTGACTTGTCTAATAAGCAGACATGATCAGGTTTATTAGGATCTCTGAATCCCATAGGTTGATACATGTAAACCGTTTCATTCAAATTACCATGTAAGAAAGCATTTTTGACGTCCAATTGATGAATTTGCCAAGACTTAGCCAAAGCAATGCTAAGAACCACCCGAATAGTAGCCGGCTTAACAACCGGGCTAAAAGTCTCATCACAATGAATGCCTTCACTTTGAGTTTTACCATCACCAACAAGGCGAGCCTTATGCCTCTCAAAAGACCCATCAGACTTAGTCTTATGCCGAAAAATCCACAATGACCGAATTATGTTCACATTCGGTGGTCGCGGAACCAATTTCCAAGTACCATTTTCAATAAGAGCATCATATTCTTCCTGCATAGCAATTTTCCAATTATGGTCACGAAGAGCGGTAACCGGGTTCTTTGGAATGGGTGATATGGAGGTGGTAGTATGATGTGTGTGGTCTTGGTATTTGGGATTTGGTTTCACAATTCCATGCTTGCTACGAGTAGCCATGGAGTGCGTGGGCATTGGGGATGGTGCGGGAACATGAGTAGGAGGGGAAAGATGCGGTGGTGATGATGGGGAAGAGGTGGCAGCAAGCTGCCGTGGTGACACATGGGTGGCAGCAAGAGGAGAAGGGGGTGATAAGGGTGAGGCAGCAGTGGGAGAACATGGTGATGAGGGTTCGTGCTGCTGCTGCACTACCTCGCTCACCGCGCTGTGTGGGGCAGGGGGCTGTGCGGGCTGAGCAGACACAGCAACTTGCTGTACCCTCCCCACTCCAGCGCCTGCTGGATCCCGTGTGGGTGAGGTAGCAGCAGGCTGCTCCTGATGCTGCCGCAAGATAGGGAGAGGAAGGGGACTTAAGGCATCACCCAAAAAATCATAAGTATGTTCATTTGGGGTATGAATTTTAGAAAATGGGAAAACCGACTCATCAAACCAAACATGCCTAGCTATTATAATTTTACGACTCGAGATATCAAAACACTTGTAGCCCCTATGATTAGACGGATAACCAATAAAAACACAAGGAGTAGAACGAGATTGAAGCTTGTGAATTTTAGTGGAAGGAAATAAAGGGTAACAAAGACAACCAAACACCCTAAGATGAGAATAAGCGGGATGTTTTTGATATAGAATTTGAGTTAGAGATTTATAGCCTAGGAGTTTGGTATGAATGATGTTATGAAGGTATGTGGCCATTTCTAAAGCATGATGCCAAAAAGTAGGAGGCATGGAGGCATGACTAAGAAGAGTACGAACAACA